GCCATCCTTTACAGTTGAAGTGGTTCCCCCAAATCTTGCAGCCTCGTACCTCGTTAGCGTGCCCAGGTGTCCCGTGTGCCCGTGTGCCCCGTGCAGGGAGCTTCCGGGTGTTTAGCGCGTCATCCAGAACAGGAGGCGTCCCCAACCGGGTTGTTGCCGGGATCACTGCTGGGAGTGTGGATACGTATCTGATTCTCGACCGAGACGACAAAACTCGACCCGGTCGAAAAGAAGCACAAACCCGGAGCGAGCTGTTCCCACAACGCCCAGCTGCGAAATCACCACCTTTTCTCCTTTTCCGCCCCGTTCGTCCTTCCTCGCCTCCTCCCCCTTTGTGCCACTCATTGTCGCGCGCATCGGACGGGAGAGCACACGTACGTATGGCCGCCTCGGATCACGACCAGTATGGCTTCCACGACGATGCGGCCGCCGGAGACGACCAATCCGTCTTGTCTGTAAGTCGACCTTTGCCACTCGCGTGACCACTTTGTTCGTCGTGACTTGATGATTGACCAAAGTGTTGTACCGGTAGACTCGCGGCATAGAAGCATTCGGGCGCAAGGTCACGACAACAGCAAGCCATTTGATGGGTCCTCTGTCCGAGCAAGGGAACAATAATCATCACCACTACCATGGCGCCCTGGCCGAGGTCCACAAGCAGCTCCGGCGGCCAACTATCCAACGAAGCATGTTTTCCATGGCAAAAACGACACCGACAGACATCGTCCGGTCCAAGCTGTCCACGACGGAGATCCAGCATCGCGCCCTGACGTATTTACCCGACGAACTGCTAGCGAACATTCCCGAGAGCGACAATTCCTACTCCCTCTTCCAGGGCTTCAAAGCGAGCTTCCCGGACCTGACTGAAGAAGGTAGGAAGCACCGACGGCGGGTATCGAGGGGCAGGAAACTTTTGGAGGATACGGAAAACACTGCCGGCACACCGCAGGCGCTGCACAATCTGAAGAAAGACAAAGCCTCGATGATGCACGAGCTCGAGATGCTGGGTGTTCGTAAGAACATGGCAAGCAGTGAGATCCGTGACATTGACAACAAGATTGCCAATCTGCACGGTATGCGCCGGATCATCCTGGACAGACTGGCCAACTTGGAGCAGGAGGAAACATTGCTGGAACATGACCGTGAGTTGCACAACCATCTGAGCTCTCGGGCACTCGCTTCGTACTAACTAGCTTCAGTCATGGATGTCGAGACACGGTTAGAAGACGCCCAGGAGCTTGTCGACGAAGCCGAGTCGATTGCGATAAACACACCCACGAAGACCGAGGAAGATCTGGCTGGTGAGGATGACTCTGGTTTCATGTCACAGTCGGTGTACGAGAAGCTCCCGACAACAGCTGGCACACCGGCATCAAAGGCAAAGAAGAGAGTGGTCCGCCGGAAATCGATGCCAATCTTGCACGAGCATTTCGAGGCAGGCACAGCTATTCGGGAAATTCGTGCGCACCAGGATACGATTACGGCTCTCGACTTTGACGCACCCTTTGGAACAATGGTGACTTCGGCCATGGACGACTCGATCAGGGTCTGGGATCTTAATGCTGGACGATGCATCGGTTTGCTGGATGGGCACACGGCCTCAGTCCGCACACTGCAGGTTGACGACAACTTCCTCGCGACTGGCGGCATGGACGCAACGATTCGACTTTGGGACTTGAGCAAGGCACACTACGACCCTCACGGAAGCCAGTACGGAAGGGACGAAGACGAAGACGGCATCGCATTTGAGAACCCCGACGATGGACCGGTCGAGCCTCCTGAAGGAAGCATGAGGGATTGCCACCTCTACACCCTGCAATCCCACGTTGACGAAATTACGGCACTCCACTTCAGAAACGATACGCTCGTTTCCGGCTCGGCAGACAAGACATTGCGACAGTGGGATCTCGAAAAGGGCCGGTGCGTCCAGACGCTGGACGTTATGTGGGCGGCAGCGCAGGCGTCCGCGTCTCTCGGTAGTGAAAGCTCTTGGAGGCAGACGAACAGGGCACCCGCGCAGCAAGCCGATTTCATCGGTGCCCTCCAAGTCTTTGAGACTGCTCTTGCGTGCGGTACTGCCGACGGCATGGTTCGGTTGTGGGATTTGCGAAGCGGACAGGTTCACCGAAGCTTAGTGGGACACACAGGACCGGTGACATGCTTGCAATTCGATGATGTTCACCTCGTGACTGGTAGCATGGACAGGAGCATCAGAGTGAGTTCAGCCCTACTTCATCTACGCCAAGGCACTGCTAATCATCAACAGATCTGGGATCTCCGTACAGGATCTATCTATGACGCCTATGCGTATGACAACGCCATCACAAGCATGATGTTTGATGAGCGGAGAATCGTCAGCGCAGCAGGCGAGGACGTTGTGAAGGTGTACGATAAGGTGGAAGGCCGCCAATGGGACTGCGGTGCGGGCATCTCTGATGCCGAGGAGGGCAAGACGCCTGCCGTCGTGGAGCGTGTACGTGTCAAGGACGGTTACCTGGTGGAGGGACGACAGGACGGTATTGTAGGAGTATGGACATGTTAGAGTATACAGAACCCCCTTTCAACAGAGCGAATACAACGCGATTATGACACAGGCAGAGAAGATGCGAAAGCAATGTCTGAACGAAACGCTGAAGAAATGTGATGAGGTGACCTGTAATTTTCATCTGGACGTCACAATGCTAGAGTATAACAACACCCCCTTTTTGACTTCGTTTTAGACTCTGGGAATGCAACCGATTGAAGCTATGTAGCTAAGTATCTAAGGGTGTTCATCCGACATGCTCCCGAGCCAAAAAATGTAGGACGTAGTTGCCATCATCAGACGAGACCCGCCCAACCAAACATCTCCAACTTTTTTTTTTTCGTGTCTTTCCATTAAACTACTCACGTCCAAACTCACCAAGCTACTTCATCGCCCGGCATTTATGAGAGCCTTTCATACCACAACCAAGAAAACCCGAGAAAGAAGGGCAAGGATCGAAAGAGTGTAGAGGATGGAATAAAGAGAAGGGTTCCTAAGAGAGAGAGAGGGATCCGAAATGTCCGGGATCTTTGATAACCCCGCCCTCATCAAAGAGTGCAGCGATGCAGCGGCGTCGATCTACGCGGACGTCGTCGGCCACCTCACCGCCGAATTTCCTCCGCCTCCGCGACCATTTGAGGGTCATGCCGAAGAACACAGTCTGGAACCGGTTGGGTCGGAGATTTTGAGGGTTGTGGAGGGTTTGGCTTCTGAGGTTCTGAGGCTGTGCGCGGCAGCGGGCTATGGTGTGGATTTGAGCGACTATACAGCAGCAGCACCACCACCACCACCACCCCCATCGGGATCGGAGTCAGAGTCGGGGTTGAAGGGGTCGGAATCGGTGATTGAGCGCCTTGACGGAGAGATTGAGCGGACCTACCGCCGGTTCTATGAGTATGTGTATGCGGACCTGCCGTTTTGTTGGAGGTTGTTGTACACGGAGCTCAGTCTACTCAAATTTTCGGCGGTGGTGTTTTTGTACGTTGCCAGGAGGGTGGCGCGGGGTGGGAAGGAGGAGGAGGAGGAGGAGGAGGAGGAGGATGAAGAGGGAGACAGCGAAGAAAAAGTGCTGGATGAGCTCGTCGCCATACTGGACAAAACTCTCATCCTCGCCGGCGGGGCGGGCTTGAAGCGCGGGAGGAGGACGATTGCGAGGCTGCTCGGGTACCTTGACCACGGGGCGCCATTGTCTTCACCGCGTCCGCCCCTACCGACGAGGTTTCCTTCTTCGCGGACTTTTACGCCGCCTGTTGAACGGCCTATTCGCGTCGTGGATGGTATGTCGATGTCGGCGTTTCAGGCGTACCTCGACGGCCGGCACCGTCTAGACAAGGAGACGGACCTGGACTTGGGGCCGGAGCCGTTGGTCCTGACGTCGTTGATGACGGAGTGGCCTGCGCTCTCTACAAGACCGTGGGCGTCGCCTGGGTATCTGATGTCTAGGACGCACGGCGGGCGGAGGCTTGTTCCCGTGGAGGTTGGACGGAGTTATGTTGATGAGGGGTGGACGCAGGAGTTGATTCCGTTCCGGGAATTATTGGCCCGCGTTGTTGCATCTGGGTCTCCGTCGACTTCAGCATCGACAACAACAGCAACCTCAACAACGACAACGGGAATGACGGGGATGGAGAAGGGGACAACATACCTCGCCCAACACGAACTCTTCGCACAGCTCCCGCACCTGCTAAATGACATCCTCACGCCGGACCACTGCTACACCTCGCCGCCTGCGCATCCGTACGACAAAGGCGCCGACAAGCCGGAGCTGGACGTGCCGCTCGTGAACGCGTGGTTCGGGCCGGCGGGGACGATTACGCCGTTGCATACGGACGGGTATCATAACCTACTGTGTCAGGTTGTCGGGGAGAAGTATGTGCGGTTATACGCGCCGCGGGATTCGGAGGCCTTGTGTCCGAGGGGATTCGATGATGATGATGACGACTTTGACGCCGATGACGATGGGGACGAAGGAGAAGAAGAAGGAGGAGGAGGAGGAGGAGGAGGAGGAGGAGAAGAAAGGCAGGGACAAGAGGAGGGGAGTAAGGGAGGCCAGGGAGTCAAGAAGGTGGACATGAGCAACACCAGCGCCTTTGACGTCGGCGCCGTGGAGGGCTGGGACCCGGACACGGAGGGCCGAGATCCGATGGAGCTCGAGGAGTTTCGGGGGCTGCGGTACTGGGATTGCGTGCTGGGCCCGGGACAGGTGTTGTATATCCCCATCGGGTGGTGGCACTACGTCCGTAGTCTGAGTGTGAGTTTCAGCGTGAGCTTTTGGTGGAATGGGGATCATTATGTTGGTCCACAGGGGAGGGGAGGTGGTTGATATCACGCCTCGAGGGAGTCCAAGTCTAGATAAAGTGTTTACTTTCATAGCTTGAGAAGAGATACCCCTTTATAGAAGAGGTATAACAAGCCTCGGGTCATGTTTTCATTCCATCATGTCATCTACGTCAAACGGTATTCATCAACTACGGTATCAGCTCGCAGCAGCAGCAGTCTCATCCGCCTCGGCGCTCTCCCCGGTGGCCCCCTGCGCCTGGCGCCTCGCCTTAGCACCAGCTTTGAGCTTCTCCCACTTTTCGCGATACTTTTCCAGCGTCCGCGCCATGGTCCTGTTCTCCTTCTCCAGCGCCTCCATGCGCTGCATCGCCATGGCCATCTGCTCCTCCAACTCCTTATTCCGCGCCTTCAATACGGCGTCGGTGCTCGACATGCCCCCGCCACCACCGGTAGTAAAAGGAGACACCCCAACCGTCGCAGGCGACCCGGGCCGTCTTAGACGAATGCTCTCCGCCAGCGCCAGACTCGAATTCTGCGCCGTGGCTTCGAACGCGTGGAGCCGTTTGCTGAGCTTGTCGAGCATGTCCTTGAGGCCCCTGTTTTCGAGGTAGAGTTCCTCGACGGTGTTTTTGAGGTTCTGTTCTGTTTTGGATTTGCTGGCGGCGGCTCCTCCGCCTCGTCGTCGGGATACGCCGGGGGATGTTGGTGCCGCCATCATCATGGACGGAGACTCGCGGGCGTCGACAAAGTCGTCCTCGTCGTCTTCGATGAGGCTGTCACCGGCACCGCCGCCGCCGCCGCCTCCACCAACGCCGCTGTGGAGCGAGGCCTCGAGGCGGCGCTTCTCCTTGTCGGCGAAATTGAGGATGTTGGCGTAGGACATTGTGTGCCCGCTTGTCGGGACGACGTAGAAGGAGTCGTTGGGGTTGTTTGCCGAGATCGCGCGGAGGGTGGCGCGGGAGTAGATTTTGGAGAGGTCTGGTTCGGCGGGGGCTGCTGGGGAGGGTTTGAGTCTGTTGCTGCGCTTTGCCGGGGCCGGTTCTGGAGGTGTCTCGGCGTGGGGCTCGGGAATGGACGACGACGAGGTAACAGACGAGGATTCCTCGGTGATGAGGGGCAGGCCTGCGAAGGCGAGGGGCGCGGAGAGGCGGTTGATGATGTTGCCAAAGGTGCTGTAGAAACGGGAGTATCCATCGTCGCTTGCCGGCGAGGCGACTTCTTCCGTCTTCTTGGGCTCCGTCTCCCTTCGCGGGGAGTCGGCGGTGGTGCCGGTTGGGGGGATCCAGCCCGGTTTGCCGGACTGGTCGAGGACGCTTTGCATCTTTGTCCTCGAGCCATCCCGCCGGGCCTGGACTTCCATGTTGCCCGGCGCCTGGTCGTTCGTAACGCTCGGCGGAATGGGCTGGCTCCGGTTCCTGCTTCCGCGGATACCTCGCGCCGAGGCGAGATTGCTCGCGATGGAGGAGGTCATCTCGCGGCTCGGATACCGGCGCTGCTGCGCCAGGGACGGAACGCCCTTCACGGCGGCGACGGGGCTGCCGCCGGCGGACTGCTGCTGCTGGCCTGATCCGGACTTGGTGCGCCCATCATCGGGTGAGGAAGCATCGCTCGTGGCATCAGAGGCTTGCGATTCCTGCTTCTCGTCGATGGTTTCGGAGGATGGGTTCTGGCTGGCGGCGGCGGCGCGACGGTCATAGGGTATCTTGAGGAGTTCGGCGAGGCGCTGGTGGTGCTCTTCGAGAAGCTTTAGGGTGCGTAGGGCCTCGATACTCGAGGTGGAGCGGGCTGCGTTGGCGAACTCGCCGGCGGCAAGGGCGTGTTCGTTTATTGCTACCGTCGTCTCCGACTGGTGCTGAGCGTTGGAGGCTGCTTTAGCATGGTCATGCGCCTGGGTGAATTTGCTGTTAGAATAGTGATTGCTAGACATTGTTTCACAGGTGCCTTTCAGGGCTGAGGTTACCTTGACAAGCGAAGACTCGTCCATCACAACAAGAACTGCAGGGCTGCCCAGGTGGGCTGCCGGTAATGTGTCAAGGGACGGGTGCCGGTGCCGGTTCGGTGTCGGAGGATGCTGGGGTTTAGTTTCTGCTCCAAGTCGGCTGTCCGCACCTTTACTTTTGGATCACACGTTCGCCTGAGACCGATGCAGACGGTGGTAGTGGAGGGGAGGTGGAGGGATGTACGGATATGCGCCGATGGAGGTACGGAGGAGGTCCAACGAACCGGCCTTTGATGTTCGGTGGCCGGTGGTTGGGTCGGGGTGTTGCGGTCGCGGAGGTTTCCCCAGAGTCGCTAGAAGGTGTTTCCCCCCGCTTGTTCTCTTCTCCGGTTGCAGTCAGGTGGGCAGTGGACAATAGGTAAGGTAGGTGCAGGAGCACGCGGGACGATGCTTGGTTCGCTTCCAGTTAGAAGGGGCTAAGGAGGGCCTGGGTTGGCCTGTCGGAGTACGTAAGCTTTCCGTTCGTCAAAGCGTTCTCTTCCCGCTGGTGGCCACCCACGCACCTTGCCAAAATCGTCAAGGCTAAGAGGAAGCGAAGAGACCGATCCCACGTCACCAGCTGCTAGTAATTGCCTCAAGTGACTTGATGGAAGCTAGCTTTGCTTACTCCGACTAATGACATCTCGATGATGTGGCTAGAGAATTCAAAAGAGACTTCAGACGGCTTTTGTGAAGGAGAAGTCGGTCCCGCTGTACCACAGCAGGGCACGCTATACAAAGCACCGAAACAATCGAGCAGATCATGATACCTACCGTATTTACAGTCAGCATTCAATTGTCAAAGTATACTCAAGCCACCAGTCGTCACTTGCATTGTCAAATTTGATATGTTGATAAAGAGTTCAGTTGCAGCAGCGCGACATCTGGAAGGTAAGTCAGAAGTGATTCGGCAATCCAGACCGTGACGATGACAGTAAGTGCCGGAACTGAGACAGGCCAACACCAAGAGAGATTCCGGATGACGCAAAATGCATGTCAAAGGAACCCAGGAACTTGGGCATCGTGTCTGCGAGTACTGCGTACGTTGGAACTTGGGTGTGCTGTGGCTGCCACCTGTCCCCGCCCTAACAACCGGGCGAGAGGGGGGGCATTCACCATTGTCCAATATCCAGTTGCGCGGTGTCTCGTCGCTCCAGAGACGAGCCTATCACGATGAAGGAATAAAAAGGGTGAAGGACCACTGCAAGCCACAGGCTGTAACCCGCAAGACACAATTCGCACTTGCAGAGGCCCCTGACGTAGGGATAGTCCCCCCCCAAGCCAGCACCTGATCCAAACGGGCAACCCAACGGCCACAACCGTCCCGAATCGGGCCAGCCATCGAAACCTTGCTAGGAAAGCCATCTGCAAATCTGCCAGACGTGCATACATCGCCAGGAGGAGGAGCGCGGACTGGCGGACTGATTCGGGCTGGGTGGGTGAGAGAGGTGGGATGAAAAGCTCCGGGCCAGCCGTTGATACGCTGGTTGGGATCTGCTGGTCTCTCTGTTTCGACCTACCTAAGGTACACCAGAGACCATGTGGTGCTGGTGCATCCGGCTAGAGTGGAATGGAGCTGGTCGGCCGGTGGTGAGATGTGATCTGAGCAGTGAGCCGAGGCGGGAATCGGAAACTCAGGAGATGGTACTTGGTCCTGTTAAGAGGGACCACACAGCCACAGGCCCACAGCCTCTTGAGTTTCCTGGGCCCTGGAGAGATTGACTTTTGGTGCATCTGGCGGAATCATCCCGACGCAGGTCCCAGATCTCCAGGTGCAATTCGCAGGTGGAAGATTCATGGCAGGGCTGGGCTGGGTGACGTGGAGATGGAATGGAGATTTGCATTTTGGGATTGCGCAGTCGCCAATAGATCCACCGAAAAAGAGATGCCACTGCCCACTGAACAAAAATAGCATGGAGTGTCTTTCCCGGATCACGGTTTGCGGGCGTCAATCATATAATGCAGCAATAACATGGTATATGGGTGGCTCAGGTCCATGGAGGCTGGCCAGATTGACGGCCCCAGATTCCCGATTCTGAGAGATTCCAGGCCGCTCGTAATAATGGAGAGCTGTCGGCGAGCGGGCAAAAAGAAGCAACCGGCTTTTATGCCATTATGAGTTTGCATTTGGTTATTTGTAGGGTTATGAAGAGAGGAGAGGAGAGGAGAGGGCGGGGACTGGGAAGAATTGGAGGAAGTGAGAAATAAGAGCTTATGTAATGGGGGCCGCACTAACAAATCAAGGTACTCTTCTGTTTCAAGCGGCCGAGCCAAGGAGGAAGGAGGAAGGAGGAACCCGCCTGGCCCAGGAACTTGCCTCGCCTCCAGTGACGATGACGCTCTTCGTGGAAAGAGAGCTCCGGCTTGGTGGTTCTTGCCTTGGCCAGAATTGAAACTGACGACCTGGGGAAGGTACGACGGCACAACGGGAAATCTTCGTACGAATAGAAATCAAGGTGGCAACCAGAACCTTGACCTCCTTCCTTCTCGGGTTTTCATCTTCATTTTCTTTTTGCGTCTCCTCGGCTCCGGCACCGTCTCCAGAGAAATTGCAAACTTTCCCATTTTCCGTGAAGTGCAAACTGCGAACCCATCTTTTGCTCTTACCCATGGCCTGACCCATCCATTCATTCATTCACCTTTTCATGTTTGCGCTTTGCACTTTACTCTACGGAGTACGGAGTACACCACCTCACAGGCTCGCAAGCAAGAAACAACATTAAACGGGGCCCGTCTGCATCGCATAAACTTGGAAAACAACACAGCACCCACGGCTTCGTTTCCAAATAATTCACCGTCATACGCAAACAGTACACAAGGTCTACGGATATTACAGATACAGTCTACACCCCTACCTCGCATCGCACCTCCCTACGGATCCTCTCCAAGCTTGTCTTGTCTTCTCGACCTTAATTTCCATACTGCCAATTCCCTGCACCCGCGGACCATGATCATCGTGCCCACTATTCGCAACCAATGCGCGTATAGCCTTTGACAGCACCAACCCGCCAGACTGCAGACACACATTGCTCGGAAAAGAGTACGATAATTGCGAGCTTCACGATCCTAGGAAATCACCAGAACCCTGGCCCGGGAAACCATGGACGCCGCCAATGAAAGCGGAGGAGCTCTGAGCAAGCTGTTGCCAAAGTCAATCGCCGCCAAGCGCCGCCGCAGAAAACAAGAAGCCCAGGAAGATGAAGCCGCTGCCGCCACGGCCGCTTTGCTGATAGGGGTCAAGGGGGAAGATGTTACCGCCCCAGCTGTTACGCCTGCACCACTTAGAGACGACGATGCCAGCCATCTGTCCAACAGACGCGACAGCGGCTCTTACGTTCATGACACGGACAGCTTTGGGTTGGGAAAAGACGGCTCGACAGGGTTTCCCGACTACGACTACGACCACTACCCCGAGCACGGCCACGCCGTCCACGACACCCGCGACGCGGACGAAGCCAGCACCGAAGCCACAAGCGTGCTGTCGCTGGAAGAACCTGATATTGACGATCATCAGTGAGTAGTAGTATTGCTTTCCCGTGTGTTTTGTCTCTCTTCATCTCTACTGGCCACTTTCACCTTTTTCTGCTTATTCCTTATTCCGTCTTACCTATCCACCATCTTACCTTACCTACACTACCTATGCACACACACGGCTGGGGCTTCTCTGCACCCTCATCCTTCAATCTTCCCACCACCTTACATATATGTATGCATCCGAGCGCACTTGTTCCGTGCTCTTCACCACCACCTCACAAGGCCACGTCTTTTCGCGTGGCGCATTCCCCCCATCGTTCAAAGTCGTCACTGGCGTCTCCATCGAATGACGAGGCGAGCTACGAATAGTACCTAGCTGCTATTACTGCGGGTGCTACGCAACTCGGCCCCAGTCTGCTGGCACAACCCGCAACGGCGCCGTCTCTCTTTTGTGCATATCAAGTGGAGAGATAGAGAGAGGACAGCGGGCTTAGCGTCCGTAGTAGGCTGCTCTGGCCATCCTTGGTCTGACAGTTCTCACTGGTCCGGGGGGTTCTGGGACTGGGAGACTAGCAGACTAGGAGAGGAGGGGGCTGATGCGCTCTCCTCTCCTCTCTTGCTCCGTGGCCCATGGGTCTCAGCTCCCCCTCATCCACTCTCTGCGGCAATCACCGTATGACAGCTGCCTGGGGGTCCCTTCAGCACATTTAACTCGTGTCCCTGACGAATGTTCCATTTCAAGCGAGTGCGAACAAACGGGGTCAGGGTCGTCCATGTCTCCCTCCGACCACCTCCTACTGTTTCGTCTCTCCATGTAACCATCCGTACAGTACCAAGTATCTAACCACGACGATTTCCGCCCCCTCTCATTAGATCTCTTTCTCAGCTCTCTCGACCAAGTGCCATATCGACACATCCTTCGCAAATAGGTTACTTGACCACTTCTTCCCCTATCGTTCAGGCAACCCATTTGCCTGAACCCCAACCGCAGATACTGGACGACCAACTCTCCCAGATCGCCTCGGCGCGATCCACTCTCTCCTCTGCCAAGCGGACGCAATCCGTCGAGTCGTCGACAGATTCGTCTCTGCGCTCCAAACGCAGTTTCACAAGTCTTGTGCCACCCAAGAAAAACACCACGAGATCGCCATCTCCCGTTGGCCGTCTTAAAGGTGTTTTTACAAAGTCAAAAAAGACTCCTAGTGCTACCACAAGCCCCGACCGGTCCCTGGGCGGTGACGAAACCCCCGACCACGACCGAGACACGCGGAGAACAAGAGACCGAGGCAGAGCCACTGCTTCCACCTCTGACCTCACCACAACCACAAAGCCGTTTCTAGACAATTCGACCGCGCCACAACCGAATGCGACGAGCGACGTAGATGCATCTCGCGTAAAACAATCAACAACGCATTCCCCTGAGCGACGTCGCTCCAGGGCCTCCACGAACACATCTCGAATCGACACCTCCTTCGTACCCCAAACCCCGCCCAACGCCGACAAGACACCCGTCATCGTCAATACCCCTCCGACGCCGACCGACCACAACGCACCCTACGCCCAATCTCCTCCACCGGCCCCTGCTCCGCAGCCCGCTCCCGAGGTTTCTGTCACTGCCTCAGGCAACACGAATGGTGGTTCTGCCACGGGTACTATGCTTGCTCATCGCAGGGGTAGATCAGGATCTGGAAGTATAGGGCCTAGCAAACTGTCCAACATAACCCTCGCGCCTTTGACGCCGACCCCCGAGAACGGGACCGCAAGCAACCCAGGAACTCCATCTGGCGGAAGCGGCTTCTTTTCATCCGTCTTTTCGGCTGCGCAAAACGCCGCGACCTCGCTCACAAGTACCATTCAGAACACCGGCATAGGACCGACCCCTCCCAAGAACAAGAACGTAGCTAAACCCCCCGATATCAAGATCGACGAGCAACCCGAGGTCGAGCCGCCACCTCCATCCGCAACAGGCTCAACCATGGAGAAAGAGCCAGCAGTCAAGACCATTGGGTCAGGCGAGCTGAGCCTCAGTCAATTAGGTATAACGGACACAGCCAGCAATGCAGGAACGCCCATTACAGCAAAATTCCCCGAATCGGACGCACGAGCTAGAAGCGAGTCAGCTCCGACAGACGCTGCCTATGCCGCCGCCACGCGGGACCTCGGAGTAGACGACGGCCGAAACGCGGCGAGACCCCAATCACTGTACGATCCAGGGAGCACCGGCGACCGAACCCCTCCACAGGGCAGCATACACGAGGACAAGATTTCAGGAGTCCAACGAAGTGGAAGTATTCGAAGCGCCATTGGACGCCATCGCAAGCGAGGAAGCTCAGCTGTGTCGGGAGGTACGGCTACTACTATTGGCGCTGCCATTGCTGCGGCTAACGCGTCTCTTGCTCACCCTCAAGCCAACGCGAGCGTACCGAAACTTACGGGATTCGCGGTTGCGAGCAAGAAGCGCAATCGAGATTTCCATGGATTTTTCAAGAGCGTGCCCGACGACGATTACCTTATCGAAGACTACAGCTGTGCGTTGCAGCGCGAGATCCTGGCGCACGGCCGCCTGTACGTATCCGAAGGCCACTTGTGCTTTAGCAGCAACATCCTCGGCTGGTCGACCACGCTTGTCATGAGCTTCGACGAAATAGTCAGCGTCGAGAAGCGCAGCACGGCCCTGGTTTTCAAGAACGGACTCATGATCACGACCCTGCACGCCAAGCATATTTTTGCCAGTTTCACCAGTCGAGACTCGACTTACGACCTGATTGTCAATATTTGGAAACTTGGTCATCCGACCCTGCAAAGCTCGCTGAACGGAGTGCAGCTTGAGGGTACTGGCGGTGATAAGACAGAGAAGGTTGACGCAAATAGTGCTGTGGTAGCAGATGTTGATGATGGCAGTTTGTCCGGCACCGATGAAGAGAGCGATTCTGGCGATGACGACGACGTTTACGACGAAGACGACGACGCGGAGGACCTGCAAGATGTCACGCAGTTGTCAGAAGTGAACGCCGAACCCGAAGGCGGAAAGACCGTATCTCGCAAGGTATCTGGCGCAGGTGCTAACGGCGCTGTCACCGACGTTGTGAAGGAGGCTGTTGGTGCTGCTCCTGGCGGCAATGATTTCCCTGGCCCGGCCACTCATGCGCCGACCGACTGCGGAGACTCTGATACACATTACGACAGAGTTGTCGGCGATGATGTTATCCCTGCCCCTCTGGGCAAGGTGTACAACTTGCTTTTCGGCCCAGCCTCGGTCACCTGGATGACGAAATGGCTCACTGTCGAGGCCAAGTGCACAGAATTGACCATGGAGGATAAGAAGGGGCTGACTCTCGACAACAAGTCTCGGTATTTCACTTACATTAAGCCTCTCAATGGCGCCATCGGTCCCAAGCAGACGAAATGTCTTGTGACGGAGACTTTGGATCATCTTGATTTTGAGAAAGCCATCAACTTTAGCGTCACCACACAAACCCCAGACGTGCCGAACGGCAACATTTTCAGCGTCAAGACAAAGTACTGTCTGACGTGGGCTGACAACAACTCTACCAGAGTGCAATCCAACTGCACTATTGAGTGGACGGGCAAGAGTTGGTTGAAGGGTGAGTTGAACCCTTCCTCTACATGGTTGACGTGCGCTGACATGGTGAAGGTCCTATCGAAAAGGGAGCCAATGATGGGCAGACTCAGTACTGCAAAGACCTCTTCGCTAGTCTGAAATCAGCTGTGTCTACCAAAGCCCGCGCTGGCGGTGCGGGAGCGGGATCAGGCTCCAAGGGCAAGAAGAAGAGCAAGAAGAGCAAGGCGGCAGGCTCAACAACAGACGCCGAAGACGAGCAGGTTCGTCCCAGGCATGTTCCCAAGACCAACTGGGGCCCGTTAGAGCCTGTCCGCGGCATTCTCGAGCCAATTCTGGACATTGCCAAACCACTACTCACAGGCAACATGATGTATGGTCTCCTAGTTGGCCTTCTCGTTGCGACGTGGTTTGGCTTTGGCCTGCCTGGCAGACAAGCGTCTGGAGACATGCGCATGTATGGTTATCCGGATCGTCTTGCGGCGTACGACGAAATGTGGAGGCGAGAAGAGAGTGAACTTTGGGAGTGGCTAGAGGAGAGAGTTGGGCTGGAGCGCTTGCACGAAGGCAGCTTGCCCATTCGGAAGCGAGCAATGGAGCCAAGCACTGTGGAGGAGAGGGTCAGAGAGGACCGCATGGATGAGCGTGAGATCGAAGAGGCAATCAAGGTGACGGAAGAGAAGCTTAAGGTGTTGAAGGGCGTCATGGACAAGAAGAAGCCAACATCCGGTTGAGGAAATACCATAGTAACGGGAGGCGGAAAAGTGCAGCAAGTCAGGTTACGGCACGACACAACGTGTCTTCTCATTTCTATGTTTTTATTGTGTAGCATATTCAGTAGCGATGCCAACGAGCAAACAGGGCTTGAGTAGATCAGCATCAGCAATGTCATTTTATATCGACAATCCCGCGAGGTCTTTTAAAGTTGCACAAGTTGCGGGAGTAAGTACTCTGAACCGACCACGTGACGATAGATGCGGAGTTGTGGCATAGTCAATCATCTCCATTGCCAGTGACATCCGCCAACTTACTGTGAGAGCAAGTTTCCTGATGGGAAGTCAAGGGGCAAAGGCTGATTCATCTGTCTCTCAACTCTGAAAGGCAGACACAGAAGACCGTTGCCTGCTTCAGAGCTCTCGGATACACCGATAAAGCGAGTAGACAATGCCCTAGAAGAGCTGCATCCTCGTGCCTCTTTTTGTCCGACCTTCTCACTTTTTGCCGGCAGTAGGGACACGATGGGAAGGGCTATCTCAGCGTGATCCTGAGGAAACCGCCCTTAGTTCTCACATAATTATCAATCCGAACTGGAAGGCACGCCTCTAGCTACCTCTTTCCTTTTGAGCAGCAGGTGCTTTCTTGCCCTGGTTTTATTCTCTTCTGCCCCCACAAAGCTCGAAGGCTCAACTTGCCCTCGTCAACCACGGCAACAGAGCCCATCTTTCTTCGCTTACTGCCCAACGTTGTTTCAGAGTTTGTTCTCTGTACCCTTGTGCTTTTTTTACTACCTCATCCCCTCCATTTTCTAATATTTACTAACTGCTATCACTGGTATCAGAGACCAACCACGGAGAGAGAATCAACATGGGAGGCAAGAGCCACAACGACGGCGACCCTGCCCACGAGTCGCTCGGCGATGATGCGTTCTCGCGGACCATTGACAAACTCCGCGAGCTCGGCATCGCCGATCTGGTCCCCCTTCCGCAACTTGTCGTGGTAGGTGACCAGTCTTCGGGTAAGAGTTCTGTTCTGGAGAGTGTGACGGGTTTCGCTTTCCCTCGCGCTCCTGAGCTCTGCACTCGTTACGCGACCCAGATCACTTGCCGCCGCGATGATTTTGAGAGCGTCCAGGTCTCCATCATTCCGAGCCAGGACTCCAAGGAGAATCGGAAGGAGCGACTGAAGAAATTCGTGTTTGCTGTCGAGAAGAATGACCTCGCGTTAGCGGACATCTTTATGAAGGTAAATAGGATCCGCACTGGGGGCTACCGTTTCAATGCTGATAAGTATAACCCCCCTTAGGCGAACGAAGCCATGGGACTTCGTGGTATCAACGACGCGGATGATTCGAAGCTTTCCACCTTTGCCGAAGACATTCTCAAGATTGAGATTAACGGCCCCGATGTACGTTCAACTTTAACGTTATCCGTTCATGACACTTGCTGACCTTTGAATACCAGCAACATCACCTAACCATCATCGATGTCCCGGGTATTTTCCGCACGTCTACAAAGGGCCTGACCACCGACAATGACATTGTTATCGTCAGAAACATGGTCAACAGATACATCAGAAATCAGCGTACCATCATCCTGGCAGTCATCCCTTGCAATGTCGACATAGCGACCCAGGAGGTTCTTACCCTTGCCAAAGAAGTCGACCTAGAGGGACTTCGAACCATGGGTGTTCTCACCAAGCCCGATCTCGCCACCGAGCGCGCCACTCAGCAAATCGTATGCGAGCTTGTCGAGGGCAAACGCCATCTTCTCCGCCTCGGATACTGCGTGGTGAAGAACCGCAGTGCGGATGATACCACCTCAACGATGACCGATCGAAATTCGTCCGAAAAGGCGTTCTTCTCTGCCAATCCTTGGACGAGACTCAGATCAACGAACCGAGTCGGTGTTCATAGTCTCGCCATCCGTCTGCGTGACTTGCTGCGCGACCTATCCAAGAAGGAGTTCAAAAACGTCAAAGACGAGATTCATCGTATGCTCAACAAGAGCGAGACCGAACTCAAGCGCATGGGTCCTTCACGCTCTCGGCCGGATGCCCAGCGACGATACCTCGGCCAAATTGCGTCAGATTTCCAGGAGGCCGCTCTTCGAGCTCGCGACGGACATTACAACGGAATGGACATGTTCGAACAGAACCCGAAGCTTCGACTCATCACATCAATTGTCAACCTCAACGAGCAATTTAACAAGGTCTTCGCGCTGCGTGGCCACACGAGAAAGTTTGATGGACCAGCCGAGACAGAGTTCGGGTCCGATACTCCGCTGAACGTCGACGCAATCACCGATACAGACAAGGCTCTCCTTGGAATTCTGAAAAATCTGACGTTCCAATGCCCCGAGCCTTCGAAGAGCTCACTATTGAGCAACATTGAAAGTGTTTTTCATGAATCCCGCAGTGCCGAACTTGGCTCCGTAAGTTTGCCACATGCTGAAAGCAAGTATCGAGTCCAGCACTAACACGACATCAGTTTTCGAGGTCCATGTTAGCGCAGGTCTTCAAGGAACAGACCAAGAAGTGGAAGCCGCTGGTATTGAAGCATGTCAGCCAGGCAATCATACTAGTTCATGAATTCATCGGTGCCGTGCTCAGACTCAAGTGCGCCGACAGCAACACTTTCGAGGAGCTGCACGACAACTTCCTCCTTCCCAAGCTCCGTGCTTCGTATCAAAGAGCTTTAGATCAAGCACAGTTCCTCATCGAAGTCGAGCTCAGTGGGCAGCCCTACACCATGAATCACTACTTCAATAGCAATCTCCAACATTCTCAGGCCATGAGGCTCCAGCAAGCCATCAATAAGGCCGTTGACCCGGCAAGCGTTCTCAACGCCCATGGCGCTGCGACAAATAACACCAGCAACAAGGCAGCTCCGGTTTTCGGAGATACCGCAGTTGTCACGCCCAGAGGGCCTGGGACCCCGGTAGTGAATAGTAATGGAAGCCCTTTCGATTTCACCGCTCAGAATACCGCCGGGTCTTCCAAAGCTGCAGGATGGTGGGTATCAAAGTCAATGCTCCCCAAGCTCACAACCGATCGCTCCAACGCTGAGCAGGTCAGAGAGGATATCCATGACATCCTTCGCAGCTACTACAAAGTTGCTCGCAAGCGATTTGTTGACGTTGTACCGCAGCAAGCCGTCTTCCACTTCTTGCTTGATGCCAAAACCAGCCCTCTCAAGATCTTCACCCCTGATCTAGTCATGGGCTTGAACGACATACAGCTGCAGATGATTGCCGGAGAGGATACGGCAACGCGGGATAGACGCGATATTCTTACTCGAGACGTTGAGAACTTGAAGCTCGCTCTGGAGGAGCTGGGAATGTCGAAATAAGATTCATTGAGGATTCAAGTTGTGTTGGAATTTGGAGTTTGGGGTGTTCGTAGGCACGATGGTTCTTCAGATTGAGATCATGAACTCTACATTGTAGAACTACGGAAAATTGAATGTCGTATCCGTCTTGCTGTTCACTTGCATCACATCTCTTCCTTGCTCTTCCTTGATCCCGCTTCTTTCGTTGATCCTGCATTATTACCGCAAGGCTGAAAGAACGTGTGCTCTTCTACATAAAAGTACCATTACCAGGAGGCTTTCTGGTAGCCAAGGGGATAACAAGATAAGTTGCCGCTCAATGATTACCTTGCGTACTTATAATAGATCGGGAAGACCCCAACTGTCTTGGCTCGTGCTGGCCCTCATTTTTCTGGGGATATCTATTCCTCAGGACGACCGGAGAGATAAAGACTTTTGACGCCACGGAGTATCAACACGGACCTCTCTCCTTTAGTAGTGCTCGTGGCAGTATGGCATGCATCTGTCTTTGAGTTTCCCAACCAGGTAGAGAACCTACATAACCTTGCACCCTATAGGTCAGCTAGATTGTCTGATGTCTCAGCGTGGCGTAATTCCGTATCAATCAAGGCATTTCTAGTTGCTTTTGTGTAACGTCAAACTTTAATCAGCGTCTTAGTTCTACAAAAAGTAGAACCTTATTAGACTTGTTGTTATTCAATCCTATCATGTTGCGAACCAGTCCAAGCGAGAGCAATCATGCCGACCTCATCTCTCTCCTCAAGAAGACGTGAAGCGCAACATACGACACCACACCCGTAAAACACAATCCGCTAATAACACCGAACCCCATCAAATATTTGGGGGCATCCTTTGAAGGGAAAAGGTACGCCCCGTAAATCTGCGCCAGATTGCCCATGGCATTCACAAACGCCAGCGAAATGGCTCGCGTCTCGTTGGGCATGGACCCGAAGCTCACCGAGGCGTACGACAGCGCCAGTCCGTTGGAGGCCCAGAGCCCGGACGCCATGATGACGAGCAGCGCGTAGCGCGCCTTGAAGTCGTAGACGACGCAAGTGACGACGGCGCAGAGCATGGCGACGGTCATCCAGGCGCCGAGGATAAGCCCCCGGAAGCGCGAGTGCCGGTCGGCGAAGTAGCCCGTCACGGCGGTGGAGACGAAGGCGATGCCGAAGATGGGGATCGTCATGTATTGGGCGGCTGTGGATTTGTAACCGAGACCTGAGACGAGGGTTGGGTAGAAGTAGGAGAGTGTTGAGGAGCCGACGATGGCCTATAAGGGAAGGAATATGTTAGCTTCTTCTGACTCCTTTGTGCGTGAAGATCAAAGGGGAAGAAGGGGGGGAGGAGGTTTGTCTGCGGATTCAACTTACCATATAGCCAACGACAAAGAGCCAAGTCCTCCAGCTCATCATGCTGAGTTTGAAAGCAGCCCAATGTCCCAGCCGAGGCTCCTCTTCCGTCCTAAGATGTTCCGCCGCGCTCTGAAGCCTCCGAATTGCCAGGTCCCTCTCCTTTTCGTTAAACTTCTTCAACGAAGTATTCGCCGGGAAATCAGGCAGCGCAAAAAACGCAACCAGCGCGGCGCCCACCGTCGCAGCGCCCTCGACTACAAACAACCACCGCCACCCGGCAATCCCGTGCGCCCCGTCCAGCCCGCTCGTGATGGAGCCCGCCAACAACCCGCCAAAGGCGCCCGACAAGATGGCGGCCGAGATGTACACGGCGAACCTCTTGCTCTGCTCCTCCTTTTTATACCACGAGGATAGCAAGAGCAAAACGCCGGGGGCGAAGCCGGATTCGAGGACGCCCATGACCACGCGGAAGCCAATCAAGGCTTTGTAGGTGGGCGTGAAGGCCATGCCGATTGTGACGGAGCCCCAGAGGCACATAATGCCGGGGAGGTAGAGGGAGGGGCGGGTGCGGGTTAGGATCATGTTGGAGGGGACTTCGAAGAGGACGTAGCCTACGAAGAAGACGACGAGGGCGATTGAGTAGCGAGAGGAGTCGAGATCGAGGTCGCGGTCCATGCCGGCGATTTTGGCGTTGCCGATACTGTTTTGGGGGAATATTTGTTAGTTCAGGGGGGGTTCGGTGATGACGGCTATGTTGATTAGGAGCAGGTGAGCTTACTTTGTTCTGTCCATGTAAGAGAGCAGATACTATGAATCGTCAGTGTTAGAAGCTTGCCTGAAAGAGGGTTATTCTGATCAAGTTACGAACCATGATGAAGATTAGAGGAAGCAAATACAGATCTATCTTGCGGACCAGTTTCTTCTCTTCGTCGCTATCGCGCACGTAGTCGTCGACGCCCACCATCTCCACGCCCTTGGAGAGAGCATGTTCATGCTCGTTGCTTGCAGTCTCGTTCTTCTCCATTGCCGGTGATGTTTTGTCGGTTGACTGGGAGCTTTGGAAAGACAACAAGGCCCAGTAACACTCTTAAATTCTTCAAGAGGACTATTGGATAGGCGAAGTACAGAAGCAAAGTTCCAAATAGAGGCCCAGGGTTGCCAATCGGAAGCCAACCGAAATCAACTGGCAAGTAAAAGTGTCTTAAGTATTTTCACAACTGTCTCCCATTCTCTCGCATAACTGATTTCGGCCGAGGGAAACAGTAGACAGGTTTGTTACCGATAGCGTCCGAGTAATACTTGTCAGCTTTTGATGGGAAAAAGCTGCCTTGTTCTTGAGTGCGGCGTGCCGCCCTTGCCAGCTTACACGCAACTTGTCTAGAGGGCAGCCTGGTTTCGTATGGCGGTCGTACGACCAACGAGGGTTCGTAGATCATCTGAACTAAGTCATTGGCATGTTTTCTCCCCCAATCTGGGGAACCGGGGGGCCCTCAGACGAATCTTCCGAATTTTGCGGGGTCTGGGGGAGGGAGACCCCGGAAGGGCAAACAACTAGCGCGCTGCGCAAGTCAGATGGAGGGCGTGCTGCCGCGACTCGGGGGCCATTGGAAAAGAATGGGGCTGGGAATAGTCGAAACTAGCCAAGTTCGAAGGGGGACCGCGTCTCGAGGCAAGCGGGTTCCGAAGAATGGGTTGCAACAAGCAATGCGAATACCGGCTCGTGGTTTCTTTGTCGTATGTGGAACAAATTGAGGGATATGCGGCTGTGGGTGACACAACACGGTCCGGAGTTACCACACGATGACCCGTCTACAGCCGATCCGGAAGCTGCATCCGCGCCGCACCGCGTGTCGGGAGCCTCTTGACGTTCGATCTCCGAGGCGCCCCACGGCGCCGGTAAGTATTGTGTGCAACAGCGTTTCCGTTCGCCCATTTCTCTATTTACTTAAGGCAGGGAAAGGTGTTCCGTATCTCTCAGCTTGCAATGCCATCTACAAGATAACTCACCAGGTCTATTAGTTGTTGCATCTGAATCAAACCCGGCTTCAATCTTTCTTTTCTGCAAATCACACGCATCAATATCTTCACAATGACTGGCTCATCTGACCAAAACGGCAACGGTACCGCCGCAATCCCCACCAACGGCACCACTAATGGCACAAACGATGCCCCGTCCTATCTCAGCACACTGCCTCCAGCCGGCGCTGACTGGAAAGTTTCTCTCAAGGACAAAGTCATCGCTAGTAAGTGTCCTGACGAGGAACAAATTGAAGATGTTGTTCATCTACTAACGCCATCCACCAAAAGTTTCGGGAGCAAACCAGGGCATTGGCCTAGGCATCGCAGAAGTCTGCCTCGCCAACGACGCCGCGAGCGTGTACAGCCTGGACATCACCGAGCCGGCGGAGCACTTCGCCGCCCTGCTCAAGCGGTTCCCCGGCAAGCTCGTCTTCCAGCACTGCGACGTGACGGACTACGCCAGCGTCGCGGCGGCCGTCGACGCCGTGGTGGCCGCGACGGGCCGCTTTGACGGCATGGTCGCCAACGCCGGCGCGACCAAGCACCAGCCCGCGCTCGACTTCACGCCGGAGCAGTTTGACCGGCTCTTCAAGCTCAACGTCAACGGGTCTTGGAATTGTGCGACGGCCGCCGCGAGGGCGTTTATCAAGCTCGGGTGCAAGGGGAGCATCGTCTTCACTGCGAGCATGACTTCGTACAGACCGAACCGGGTAAGTCCTTGTGCGTGTGTGTGTGTGGTGGTTGGAGAAGAGGAAGATGAGGGGTTCCCTGACTGACCTTTTTCTTCAAAGGCCGCTCCTTCTGCACCGTACGGTGCGACCAAGGGTGCCATCCGCAACATGACACATACGCTGGCCATGGAGTGGGCCGAGCATGGCATCCGTGTCAACTCAATCTCGCCTGGCTTCGTCAAGACTGCGTTGACGTACTACGTTGAGACTTCGCCTGACTGGGATACCAAGATGAAGTATTACGGTGGGATGCCGCGACTGGCACTGCCTCAGGAGCTGGGCGGCGCATACGTCTACTTGTTAAGCGAGACGGCTTCGTACACAACAGGTATCGATATCCCCATAGCAGGCGTTGTTGGTGCTTGGTAGGGGAAAGAAAGATAGAAAAGATACCCGGTTACAATGTTAAGAGAATCAATGACGTATTATGAGCAGTTTGATGCATGTGCAAAGAGTTGATGTATTTGAGGAGCTCTAGTCTCTGTTCTGTGGAGTCTTGGAACCCCTAATGGCTACCTGAGCATCGAAGGGAATTTCTTAATGTAAACATATATACTTTGGTAGTATGCGCGCTTTAGACAATCCAACCATCCTTACAACTCAAAAATAGTCTTTAGGAAGCGGCGATTCCCTAAATCCCGAAGTTCCTTCAAACTCTTTCTGAGCTTCCACGTCACCTCAGACAGTTCTTAAACCTGAAGTATCCCACCGGCTTCACGATGATCTGCACGGTACCATTTATGGACTGCGGTGAAATGCCAGCAAAATGATTGGCGCCCGGACACCTGCTACTTATGCTAGTATTCACTTAGCCCCTCAATGAAAATGCTCTGTAACATCGATCGCAGCTCAGTAGAATCTCAGTTACAGTGCGGAGCCATGTCATGTCCGAAAGTCCGTTCAACGATTTGGTCAAACCCATCGTTTCTTCGTCTGGCTGTTTGGACACTCATATCATGATGAGGTTTACCTGCCGGGCCCGAAACCGATATAAATGCTGCCAATTCCGTAGTAAATGTCAACCCGTCTCTCAGCAGGTCAGCATCGGATCTATCTCCATCAACTCATTACCACTCTAGTCAACATCTATTGCCACATCTCGAAGTCACACGTTTGAGCAATGACGTTCCTAGACAACACGACCTCTAGCACGCAAGCCGTAGCCAGCCAGTATGAAGGCTTCAGAGACTATCAATCGCATTTTCTGTTAGCTCTTGCCTTGGTCGTTGTACTGTATGGCTTCCTACGCAATGACGACGCCAAGAAACTGCCCATCATCAACCCAAAGGGATGGTTTCAATTGACCGCCTCTCAGTCTATTATGTCGTTTGCCTTGGCTGGGCGGGAACTTCTCGAGGAGGCCAGGCGAAGATTCGGGGCTACGCCGTTTCGCGTCTTGACGGACCAGGGCAATTTCATCATGCTTCTGCCGCAGCACGGTGAGGAGATTCGCAATGATCCTCGCTTTAGCGTTGACGAGCCTATCATTGAAGTAAGCTATAAGACCTTGATCCCCCGTCGTCATCACTATCATTACTCTGGCTGCATCAATGTCAGTGGTGATGAGGTTTCGAGTCGTATTGCTGACAATATTCCCCGTGCAGCTGTTCCAGGCGAGGTATCCTGGATTTGAACCTTTCATGGAGGGCGCCATTCCTACAAAGCCTCTGCAAAATGTGGTCAAGTTGCGTGTCACCAAGTCTCTAGGTCAGTTGCTGGTATTTCCTCCCTGCTCTGCTGCTGAATGCATGACTAACAAGAGAACACTAATATAGCCAAGGTCACCCAGCCTCTGTCGGATGAATGCTCAGTGACACTTCAAGAGTTTCTCGGCGACACAAAAGGTGCTGAAAAAATCTAAGCACTTGGTAAAAAGCAGAACAAAGGCTGACACTGAAGATAGAATCACAAGAGATTGTTCTTAGAGACTTGATCATCCGCCTCATTTCGAGAATGTCAGCCCGCGTATTTGTCGGCGAGAACCTATGCCGTAACGAGCGTTGGCTCGACCTCGTCGTCAACTATGGCGAGAACAGTGTCTTGGGCATGCGTAAACTGCGCCTCTGGCCCAGTTTCCTCAAGACCATGGCCACTAACTGGATCCCCGAGTGCAGGGACCTCAAAGCTCAGGTAAAGGAAGCCTGGGATCTCGTCGCAGCCGAGCTGGAGGCCCGGCACGTTAAGAATGACGGCAAGGAGTACAACGACACCATCTACTGGTTCGAGGAGCTTGCTGCTGGGAAGTCGTACAACTTTGGGGCGTCGCAGCTGATGCTGGCGGTCGTATCCATCGGCACGACTTCTGATCTCATCACGCAGGCCTTGGTCGATATTTTCCAGCACCCCGAGTTGATTGAGCCGTTGAGAGAGGAGATTACCGCATGTCTCGAGAAAGAGGGGTGGAAGAAAACGGCGCTTTACAACATGAAGCTTCTCGACAGCGTTCTCAATGAGAGCCAACGCCTCAAGCCCAACCAGATTTGTAAGTGATCAAAATCCCCGTGATCCGTTTCGGTACCAGCACATCAGTTTTGGCTGACCATAAACCTCCGGTAGCCTCAATGTTCCGGCAAGCCACCGCCAACGTCACTTTGTCGGATGGCACCAAGATTCCAAAGGGTCACACTGTCGCAGTTTCGACTGAGCGAATGAGGGACCCGGCTTTCTACGAGAACCCCAATGAATTTGACGGCTATCGTTTCCTCCGTATGAGAGAGAGCGGTAAGCCGGGGCAGGAGGCTGCTGCTCAGCTGGTGACTACGAGTGTCAACCATCTTGGCTTCGGCCATGGGGAGCACGGCTGTCCGGGACGCTTCTTTGCGGCCAGTGAGGCAAAGATCATCATAGCTCATCTGCTCCTGAAGTACGATTGGAAGTATGACAACTCGTACAAGATTAAGTTGCGGAAGCACGGGTTTGCGGAGGAAGCCGACCCAGATCTCAAGGTTTCTTGCAAGCGCCGACAGGTGGAAGTTCCTTTGTAGATATGTTGGATTAGAGTTAGTTTGTAAAATTGGGTTTCCATATGGTATGTGGAATTTAAGTTGTACGTAAGCTCAGAGACGAATACGCCCAGGATTGGTATACGCAAAGAAGATGAAGTACCTTATATACCCCCCCAAGTCCAATTCTCCCACCAGCCAGCAGGCGCCCGTCTAGATCGACGGGTTAGGTCAAACTGGCTGGGTGGTGGAGTGGTTTATGGTCAACAAACAATTTATACACCAACCAGCCTACTCGACGACAGGCTTAGCGAGTACCCGAGTTCGAATCCCAGCATGAGCACCAAGAGATGTAGCCCCCAATTCAGCACCGGGGGGGTGAACTCTTTTTTATAGTCTCTGAGACCTCCTAGCTCTTATATGAGGTGACTAGCCGTAAGGTGCAGTGTCTTTTCCCCTGATATTCCTGTTCGGGCTGTCACCCCCCTCACCTCCCTTCAGGCCTTGATCCCACCCGACTGCTTCAGATCATAATCATCAATGACTTTCACCTTTGCTGCTGATGCAGATGCCTTTGGAGGATAAGGTCAGCCACTAAAGGCCCTAACGTGCAAAAGGGGCTCGAGTCTCAACTTACGGGATCAAACTCATAACCCACCCATTCACTAACCAACCGCCTCGCAAGCTCGACTCCAATAACGCGTTGGCCAAGGCACAGAACCTGCGCATTGTTGCTCTTGACTGCTCTTTCTACTGAAAAGCTGTCGTGCGCCGTCACTGCCCGGACGCCGGGGACTTTGTTCGCCGAGATGGCAACGCCGAGCCCCGTGCCGCAAATTAGGATGGCCCGGTCGACCTTGCCACTGGCCACGGCCTCGGCAGCAGCAAGAGCGAAATGTGCGTATGCCGTCTTGTCTGTTGCAGAGTTAGGGCCAAAGTCTACGACTGTGCTCACTCGCGGATCAGCTTCCAGGTCTCTGGAGATTATGGCCTTGTAGTCGAATCCAGCGTCGTCACCGCCGACGGCAATACGGAGACCGTTGGTGACAGCCATCTCAGAATCTCGTTGTTGTAGTTGAGGAGGAGTGCTGCACAAGGATAATGATTATTGGCCTGGGATGTATCAACAAAAGCTAGGTAAGGATAAAGAGGTTTATAGATGAGTACTAGAGAGAAATAAGTATGAAGCACTTGTAAATTGACTGCTTGAACTATTCCGAGGTGACATTAAACTGATTGTGTGTAATTCCATTCCCAGCACTTGATCAAAGAGCCACGGAATGTTATTCATGTTCATCATGTATCAACATAAGCTTGCGCATGGATCATCAGTCCGCGCCTCGGGGCCGGTGGGGCGGCCGACCGCGAGTCGTGGGCACACGCAGGCTCGAGACTTCTCCTAGCTGAGTCTGATCCATTCGGCACGGGGGCAGTGGCACCGGATCACGACGCCTTCTGGTAGGCAGTATCAAGCATGTAATCGCTTCAAATAGACAGGAGGCTATCACGACTTGCACGATTTTTAGCAACTCAAGCTTCATTGTCGGGGAGATCACCTAGAGCTGTCTTACTCACAGACTACTTACTTTAACCTCCATAACTTTAGCACTCACGTACAAGAAACATCAGATTCAAGATGACGTTATGGGACCCTTCAAAAAACAAGACATATCAAATCCTCAAAGCTGCTGAAGAAGGCCAATATGGCGTAGTCGCGCCGATCGCCTACAACATCGAGAACATCCTCGCCTTCATCCGCGCCGCCGAAGCAAAGAAGAGCCCCTTAATCATCCAAGTATTCCCGTGGGCCATCACCTTCTCATCAGGTCTTCTCGTCCATGCGGCAGCGCACGCGGCCCGCGCCGCCACAGTACCTGTTGCCATTCACCTCGACCACGCACAGGATGAAGCCATGATCAGGCATGCGGCGGATACCTTACCGTTCGACAGTATTATGGTGGATATGAGCCACTACGAAATGGACGAGAACTTGGCCAAGACGAAGGAGTTGGTGGCGTATTGCCACGAGAGGGGCATCGCGACCGAGGCCGAGCCGGGACGTATTGAGGGCGGCGAGGACGGTATCGCGGATACAGCGGACCTCGAAGGGGCTTTGACGACGGAGGAGCAGGTGGAGGACTTCATCGCTACCGGCATCGACTTTTTGGCGCCGGCTTTTGGGAATGTGCATGGCGAGTATGGCGCCAGGGGACCCGTGTTGGAGTTTGACCGGTAAGATCTACCAATCCCTTGGACATTCATTTAGAGCCGTTGCTCATCCAATGCGTGACGCAGGCTGCAAAAGATTCGCGAAAAGGTGGGTGGAAGAGTTCGGGTGGTGCTTCACGGAACCAATGACTTTCCCGAGGACCTGATGCAGCGCTGCATCGCTGGTGGCGTGTCCAAGGTCAATGTGAACAAACTCGTGCTTGACGACTACTTGGTTCATTTGAAAAAGAATGCCTCAAGCCAGAATCTGACGACGTTGATGGAAGAGGGGGTCAAGGAAGCCCAGAAGTTGACGGAGTGGCAGATGGATGTGTGTAAGTCTGCCGGTAAGGCATGAAATGTAAGTAGTCCACACTGTTTCTGCCCTAGGGGTATATAGAAAGTCAATCATGAAACTTCAACGCATTACGTCCGGACTTTGACTATCAGCATTTGCCCATGCCTGCCTCAAGTCATCTCGCCACATCGCCATCGGCGTCCACCCGACTTTTTCTTCGCTTCTTTCAATCAGAGAGAGAATGGCGTTTCTTTTTAGCGAGTCCTGTACACATAAGCCCGCCCCATACAAACACTGTGCTGAGAGTAATTGACACCCTTCGTCTGTCGACTCCATTGCAATACCACAAATCGTGTCTACGGCCTCTGAGAGCGATCGTTGCATCTTCATATACCCATCAAACCCGGATGATACCGGTTTATGAAGAAGAACGAGTATCTTTGCGAATGAGTAAGCCTGAAGAGCAACCCCAAATTCGGGTGGGTGAATCCAAAGCGGCTTAAAGACATCGGATGGGCTTGTTGAAGTTGGGAGGGGTTTAAACTCAGTCCCCAGGAACGACTTCCATCGCTCCATCTCAGCTAGCATTTCGTTTCCAGCCCTTGCTCTATTCCCCGAAGCTGACACCTCAGTCAAAGACGAAGACTCCATCAGGCGAGAGTAGGCGCAGTAGTTGACGGCTCGGGAGAGCAGGTAAATGGCTCTGTCAGCTAGACCGTGCGGATCAAGCTCACAAAAGTCTTTGTCCGCGGCCCAGAAGCTGAGGCAACGCCTCTTTTCGCGAAACGCGGCCCAAATGTCCTGCCGGAGCCAAGCCCACCAAACTGCTTGTCGCAATCCGCCGGACGCCCCGTTGACGTCTTGAGATCGTTGGATCCAGAAAACGCCCTTCAAGTGTCGTTGCCAGTTGCCTCTACCGTCTGATTCGTCCAGCATCTCGTACGCTGAGATCACAATAGCCGTAGCATTGAGCTCTTCTGAAGCAGTGTAGCTGGTGTATGTCAACGCTTCTTGAACGTACCGGAGAGTCTCGTAATAGTATCGAACCCATTCTCCGCCGGAATCCTCCTCCGTGTCCCCATTGCTGACGTTGGAGTTCCGATGTCCTCCTCCTCCCAGCTTTGAGAGGTGTTTAGCCGATAATGCCAAGATTGCATTCATGAGACCTGCATTTCGCAAAGCCAACCGGACTGCATAAGTGGAGAAGAGCTTCTGCGGATCCAAGAAGTCCAACCAACGAGCCGATCGTTCCGTAAAGTGACGAAAGAGTGCGGCCTCCCGGTTAGACAATGTGATATCCCGATCTGCCTGCCAAGTTTTCCGCTCTGGGTCTGATACTTCGTTGAGGCGGGACTCGAGGTTGGTTGCATCGGGCGGGCCATGCAGGTCCGCCGCCCGCCTCTGCTCCTCATCCTCCGGGGCCGGGCTCGGGGCGAGTGAAAACCCACTGTCTGCCTGCGCCGCGTCGGTAGCGAGAAGGCCGAGCCATCTTGTCGAGGCGAGATCGGTGGTCCACAGCTCGGATGCGACGGTCTCGGGAGAGTAGCTGTACACGTCGCCGAACGTCACTCCCGCCGATACGCGTGGCTGGCTCACGTAGGGCGTGTGGGCTGCGTCATATGTCCCGGAAGGCTGGGAGACGTGTTGCATCGACGTCTGTGACTCGAGGCTGATGGACCCTGTCGAGCCGATCGATTGTGGGAGCTCATCGACGTGGGAATGACTGCCATTGTCTCCGAGACGCGCAGTCGGACGTTCGTTATGTGATGCAGCTGGGCTTGCTCTTCTGCCCGCATCCTGAGATAGACGGGGGAAGACGCAGTGACGAGATGAGATACCGCACGGCCCACAGACCGGTTGCTGTTCGTCGCATTTCTTGTGTCGCTCCCGACAAGTCAAGCTATGTGTAACAGGTCAGCGACCCGCGCATCGAGGGTAGTGCGGCTGGGGGAGGCTTGAACTCACCAGCCCGTTTTGGTGCGCAGACCACGGCCTCGAGGCTTTCTGACGCGCTTCTTGGGAGGCGCGGATGCAGCTTGTCTTCCATCCATGAGGTCATGGCAGGCCTATCGTCGTGTCTGCGGTTGTGTACGAATCTCGGTTCCTTGCATGAAAGGGCTGCGAGACGCGGTTCGAGCAAGGTTGGGTTAAGACTTTCCGGTATGCGGGGGCTGGCGACCCATGAGACTGGAACCGCTACTCGTGACCTAGCGCAAAGAGCTACGGAGTGCGAGTTGTTACAGCTATTTCCGAGCTGTGCGGAGCAGCGGAGCGTCGCCGACCCTTCGCACTCGGTTGCAATGAAGTTGGACGTCGGGAGTTGTCCGTCAAGTTTGATGAGCTGCATTGCCGAACTGGGAACTTGAGCGGGATTTTTGTGCGGGGACTCGCGGGGGAAAACGAACCATTGCCTTTTCCCCAACAAAGCGTCTGGGGGCAGGGGTAAGTGGGTTAGGTAGCGTACGGATACTCTGTATTAGTTCCAGTCTTGTTTGCCTACGGGTGCGCGTCTCGGGGGCCTTGACTGACTCGCTTGGAGCTCCTCTCATTTGCGAGGCTTCGGAAACTGAGAACAGCTGAGTAGAACTAGTGTTGAAGAGGTTAATCGTACATCGAGATGTTCATGTGGCTCGAGGCGCGTCAAGTTGGCGTTTTGTGTACGAGAATGAGGTTCTATGTGTGGTTGCAATTGAAGATGAACAGGTTACAACGGAGGGGAACAGGCAACTATGGTTAATACGGAAGACGTTAGCCGTGCCATATATCCGGATTCCTGTCCATGGCAATGGCTTCCAGGTGACATCTAAACATTATCGGTCCAGATACATTCAATATGGCGACGAAACATTATTTTCCCGACACGGCCACGAACACGCTCGTTTCGAGAGCTCTGCGTGCTCTTGTATCGGCGAACCCTCATCTCACTCTCAGTGAAGCAGAACGTGTCGTCGCGAACTCTCACAATGATCGGTCGACCGTAAGCATCATCGGCGGTGGCGGCTCAGGCCATGAGCCGGCATGGAGCGGGTTTGTCGGCGAAGGTCTCCTCTCAGCAGTTGCATGCGGCGACATTTTCGCCTCGCCGAGTACGAAACAAGTTCTCGAAGCGATGAGACTTGCGCCTTCTGATGTCGGGACCATTCTTCTCATCACCAATTACACTGGTGACAGGCTTCACTTCGGACTCGCTACGGAGAGGGCAAAGGCTTCTGGTTTGTCCAACAAAGTCGTTGTTCTCCCCGCCACGGATGATGTTTCTATCGGCAGAAGCAAGAGTAGTAGGGTGGGAAGGAGAGGAATGCCAGGTCACATTTTCAGTGAGTCTCAATCACCTTTTCATATGCTACGTACGCTAATTATTGGCAGCTATGAAGATTCTCGGTGCGGCGGCGGCTGAGAAGTATTCCTTTGACCAATGTGTGGAAATTGGCAGGGCTGTCAACGACCAAACTGTCTCGATAGGTTCAGCTCTGGATCACTGCCATGTCCCAGGACGGCAGTATCACTCAGTTGCAGAAGACGTCTGCGTTGTCGGCGCTGGCATCCACAATGAGCCAGGCCAACAGCTCATTACCCCCTTTCCGTCAGTAAACGATCTCGTCGATAGGATGCTGAAGCTTTTATGCGACCCGAATGATGCTGAAAGAGCTTTTGTGTCTTTCGAAAACGGGGATGAAGTCATGCTTCTCATCAACAACTACGGCGGGCTCTCAGTTTTGGAGCTGGGCGCGCTCACGGATGAAGTACAAACTCAGTTGGCGTCGACCTGGTCAATTACCGCCGTACGAACACAAGTTGGCACCTTCGAAACTTCTCTCAACGCACCTGGATTCTCCATTTCGCTCTGCAATATCTCTGCCGCAGCACGGCAGTTGAAGTCAACAGCTGACGAGCTGCTTCATCTTCTCGATCGCCCCACGAGTGCAGTTTACTGGCCGAATACTGTCCGGCCAGTAGTGAGCGAAGAGAAGACTGACGGGCTGATGACGAATGAAGACAGTGCCTCAAACAGTCACGAGACTAAGTCAGATCTTATCAAAGTTGACCCAAAGCTGTTGGAAAAGACTGTCAGATCAGCTTGCGAACGGGCAATCGCCGCCGAGCCGAACTTGACCAAATGGGACATGGTGATGGGCGACGGCGATTGTGGTGAAGCGGTCAAGGGCTTGTGCGAATCCCTGCTGCGTAATCTGGAGAACGGATCAGCAGCTAGCGGTTCCGTCTTCGCCTTTCTGGAATCGACGATCGAAGCCGTCGACGACATGGGAGGAACTCTCGGGGCCATTTTTGGAATCCTTCTTTCCGCCTTCTCCTCGTCCCTTCGATCCGAAGCGCAAGCCAATTCCGAACTCACAACGTCAATCTCACCAAAGTTATATGCCTCGTCGTTGGCTTCAGCGGTGGAGTCACTCAAGTCTCATACCCCGGCAAGGGAAGGTGATCGGACCGTCATGGACGTGCTGCTTCCGTTCTCGGATACCTTTGTCAAGTTAGGAGACTTTCGTGCTGCTGTCAAGGTCGCTGCTGAAAAGGCAGAGGCGACCCGGTACTTGAAGGCAAGATTTGGCAGGGCAACGTATGTGGGAGACGCAGCAGGACAAGAGCTGCCCGACCCTGGCGCCTGGGCACTGTATGAGCTTTTGTTGGGGATGGCAGAAGCTTAGACTTTTGAGACTTTGCGAACGAAATGAAATGACATTTTCAAAATCATCTTGAATAGAGGACTCGAAATGTCCCTGGCTCCCTTACATCCGCCTATGAATAGTTTCGAGATGGAGCAGGAGATTAGATAAGGACTGAACACGCATCTACTGACGCCTTCTAGCATTTGATGGGTCGTTTGCGATGTAATAGTCTGTCCGCTCTAGTCCGGCTATCAGGATCCTTCAAATCAGAAAATAACGGCTTGTATAAAAATCACTCAATGTAAGCCCAATCTAGCATCTTCCGAAAAATTGTCCCAGTAAGCTACTTGCAAGCTGCGCTACCAAATGTTGGCCGGAGGAGGATATTTCACAACTTTGGCCAGAAGCTCAGTCGTCTCTGCCAGCTCTTTATACACTGAGGCTGACTGGTCAACTCTTTTGAGTTCTCTTCAGACTCGTCAGACTCATTTGTGAGGCCGTAGGCGATACTACTGGTGCTATTCGCTTCATCCTCGCCCTTTTGGCCACGAAATGAAGCAAGCTTGTCCAACAGTCTGAGCCTCGTCCTCTTCAGAATCTCGCGACTCGATTGAATCATTATCAAGAGTCTCAGTTCTTCTTGCTTCCTCCCGACAAGAATCTCCAGTGGATAACGCTCTCCACGACAGAGGACACCGTTGTTATCCTCACCAAAGTAGCGAGCCGAATCAACTAGATGGTGTCGGGTCTCTCGTAATTCCATTCACCAAGCCATTCCATCTGAGCTTCGTCCCAAGCGCGTATAGCTTCGGCTTTATCTTTGAGAACTTGGGAGGGCTGGTTCATGCTTTCATTCTTGAAAACGGGCCGCTTCTTACAGTCCGAGAGAATTGAACCGCTTTGGTAGGAGTATGCGAAGTCTACCAAATCGCTCTAGAGATTCGGTTTGGCTGCCACGAGAACATCAGTGCTCTAGTACGTCGCTTTTGTTTCGTCATACTCTATCGTATCTGATAAGTCGCCAATGATGACGAGCTTGACCACGCGGAGAGGAAATTCTCCGCTCATATTCGACCTAGGCTCCAAAATATTGGGCTTGTCGGTGGCCCAGCCACCAGCAAAGACTCTCTTCCAGAAGTTGTCGCGGATAACATCATCAATTTCTGGCATCGGTCTGAGATCTTCAATGGTTACCTCGAGATTCGGTCGTCGTTGAATAGTAGCACCCAGCAATGAGGCTGTCGAAGATCCTCTTTCCGGCATCGTTGAGTTGGTGGGCTCCAGAGATAACGAACTGAGGTGGCTCAGAGGAAGCCATGATGAAATCAAGAGGTGTTGTGATGAGAAGTAGCAGTTGGTGTTCCTCTCAGCAAAAAAGAAACTGAATGCCAAAGTCCAAGACTTGAAATCCGTTGGTAAAAGCCTCTTACTTGTGTTCCGACGTGTGATGTTGATGTTGAGTTGCAAAGCAGTTGCATTTAATTAATAAAATTTGAAAGGTGTTCAGTTTGGAAAGCAAGAAATTTGTATGTATACTCAGTGAGTTTATGTGATGAGATATGGGAAGAGGACAATGAAATGAAAGCTTTTATAGTGTGAAAGCCTGGGTGAATTAAATAATCCCTGGTGGAACAAACGTTGCCCATTATCCAATCTATCAAATAAAGGCCATACTCACATTATATACAGCATTTTAGATTTTAGGGAAGTGCGTCGTGAAAGCGCCTTATCGAGCTTGTGCCCCTTACGCAATTAGTCCCAGCGCCTACCAGGCGTGTTACTTTGATGTGATCCCAAGTTGGAAGTCAGGAAGACAGATGTGCTGATGTTTTGAATGAAAAGGAAGGAACAGCAGACTCGACGCAACAAAAGATGAAACTTAACGGCGATATCTGAGATCTAATCAAGAAGCAAAACGTCAAACGTACCTTCCATATGAATTCATCACATTAGACCTATATCGAAAAAGAGCTCCGTCAAATGGAGCCATCTTACGGAATACATCACTAGATAAGCAGTCGCAATGGAAATACCAATGACAATACATTCGTGTACGTGTATTGAGCTGGTTTGGCGAAATCAAGAGTTCATGCTATGCTTTTACGACTATCCCTTTCCATGTTCCCCCCAAAAAAGCAAAACCAACCTCCATTCATCACCCGGGTATCAATCACTCTTCTCGTTGTCCTCTAATCACCCCTCAAAAGCTGCTCGTGGACCAAGAAGTTCTTTCGAAGCTCCTCCTTCTCCAACCAGTGCTCCTCGACCAGCCGAACCTGCTTCAGCTCACTCGTATCCTCGGTGTTGGTGACTCTAAGCTGCAGAGCCAAGTTGAGGAGACGAAGGCGGCCCCAGTAGACGATCTTGTCCCAGTTCCAGCCGCCGACTCGCTCCTTCTCGTTGGTGTCGTAGTGCATTCCAACCTCGACCGAGGCCTCTTCGAGAGTGAGGTCGCCCTCGATGTCAATCGAGGCGTTTGAGAGCTCGGAGCCGCGGTGGCCCTGCTGATCGACCCAGAAGAAGCTGGCGTCGACGTCCTCCCAGCGATCGCCGACCTTCATGCTGACCTTGAGAAGGACAGACTGGCCGGCGCGGCGGTAGCCCGGGACGCTGCCGTTCTTGGGCACATCTTGGTTGAGGGTGCCGATGGTGAGGGAGGCCTCGTCGTTGGTGCGCTTGGGGAGCTGGCCAGGGGCCTTGTTATCTTTGTTGGTGGTCCAGTCCTTGGCGAAGACGCGGTTCCAGAATTCATGGCGGACGTTGTCCAGAGTGTCAGGGTCGATGGGGTAGTTGCGCCGGATGAGGGCCTGCAGGAGGTCATCGCACATGCGCTGCTCTGAGTCTGAGAGCTGGCCTAGGCCTACGATGGCAATCATGGCGCCCTTTGTCTCCAGTTCACTGTAGTACTGCATTTTTAGCCTTTTTGTCAGTCTGAGTGCTTTTATGCGAATGTAATGCTAATGGGAGTTGTACCGGAAGGCTGGTTGAGCTTTGCGAGTGTGTGTGTATGTTGAGATGCTTTGTTGTGGTGTGAAAGCGTGAGGGTGAAAGATTTCGCAAAGTGTGTGGAGAACGTCAGGCAAAGGAGAAAAAAAACCTGGAAAGTGTTTGTAAATGAAAGCTTTGCCCTATGCAGTGAGGGATGGAAATTGGGAAAAAGTAGGGCAGGTTGTTGTGCGGTTGCTGGGACTGTTGACAAATTTTGGACGCGTCTGAGATGCTCTGATAGTTCACCTTCACCTCGAATGCAGCAAACCACTCCTGTCTTATGGACCCACTGCGTGATTCAGACGCTCTCAAAACAATAGAATTGTCCCTGTGGCCATGCACTGGCAACTTGGTCTACACAAAAGGTGAAGTTCATCCACAAGACAACTTGGAAGAAGTTCCTTGTTGTGATGCATCATCAAGGACTTTGTTACTTTTGATATACCTCGATCTGTCTGAAAGAAATCTAAAGATGTTCTAGACAAGAAGGACGAAGTTAGTGACAAGTTCATGCTAAGATTGATCTTCGATTTCCCAACTACTGTATTGTCGTCTATGAACTGAGGAAGTAAACACGATGTCAAGAAATCTGAGCTTGAACAAGATTGAACCTCCGACTTGGGCGTCAATTTTCCAACGTTTAATATTTCAGTATGCCTTGTATGATACCTCTGCTTCCCCCGGTCTACATCATCGACTGGCTGTTTTGATCTGGCTGAGGCGATCACTCATACCAAAGAGGAAGCGCGAGGAGTAAGCAAAGCTACAAGGATTAGGTTTACCGTCTTGTCTACGTACGGAAAGATGTTGATTTGCCCTAATTCGCTCAACAAGATATCTCAGTCTCAAATGAAGGTAACGGATTCCCCAGCTCGTTGTACTCCTCGAGCTCAAGTCAGCAGACCACATCTCGTGACTCTGGAAATTCCACAACAGATGGAATGAAGTCGTATTATACAGATGGACATGATTCACTGCAACAGTCGATGCATATCTCCATCCTTGATCACATATAAAATCTCGAGGCTTCAAGTGACGTAGTCAAATCTCTTCCTTCAACCCTCATCACGGACAGAAATCAGACCAGGCAACCTCGACAGAGATGAACACTACCCAAGACGCCAAATCTAGACAACCTGGTACCACAATCCTCCAGAATCATCATGTCCGGCCAAAACAGATCCATCGATCCAAAGGAGTCCTACGTTGACCCGACCCCCCAATGCCCAACCATGGCCCGCCATATCCACGAAATCCACCGCGCAGCCCACACCACCAACGACCGCCGCCACAATCACCATAGTCACCACGATTACCGTGAACATCACCACCGACACCACCACAGCCGACAGCCTAGCACCCACCACCGCACTCCAGCCCACGAAGCAGACTCTCCGGGCTCAGAAATCTACGTCCGCTTCGAATACGTCCCTCACCGCGAAGCCACAGCCTGCACGGACGTCTGGCAAGCCCTCGGTTCCGCCGTCGACCGCTGCCACGGCGGCCGCCTCACCAACGAGCTCTGCCATGTGGTCTTTGCCGGCGGCTGGACGACGGCTCACTCCGTTGGGGATGTACCACAGCCGGGTCCCAGGGATGATGATAAGATTATGGTGAGGTGTGGTGTTTGGAGGAAGGATCTTCCTGAGATCTCTGTGAGTAGGCGAGTTTGGGGATGATGGCTGCTGTTCGGGGGGTAATGGAGCACGGGCGGACGTATGGCTATTGAGTCAGAACAAGTGATTTAGAGACTCGTGGAAGCGATTTCTGTACAAGACAACTTTGATCTTTGACGAAGTACATCAAGTTGCTCATTGCGATGGCGAACAGCTGGACTGTTTTGCGTCGTGCATCTCAGACGGCTTTTACTTTTCTCGGACTGGGCGAATGAAAGCAACGTGAGTACCCCATGGCATGAACGTGAGCTCGAACAGAGAGTACACTGATCAAAGGTCGGGAGAAGGTGGTTCTGGAACGAAAGTCGAATCACCGCGTGAGCGGTCTCTTGATGCCATAATCATACACTATCTACGGTAGCCAGACAAATCCATATCCAGCGAAAGGCCGACATCATGAAAATCCCTCATTTTCCATCCAGGAGGGAGTTAACCAAAGAACCGTACGCCCGCTAATTGCCTTTTGAATCCCATCACGCACGGGAATCCCGCCTCAAAAGGCTTCCCACGTCGTGTAACTTGACGTTCTCCATCGGCTGCGCCCCGCGATCCACCCGGCCCCACCCGGCGCCCCATGTCGGGAAAACGCCGGGAGCCGCGGGATCGGCGGGCATCTGCTCGTCAGCGGCGCCCATATTTCTCCCAGTGTATGCAGAGGAGACACCGCTGTTTCGTATGCTCATCGCGTACTCGTCCGTTCCACCACCGATGCTGCTGCCGCTGCCGCCGCCACCCCTTTCTCTCCGCCTCTTGCGCCAGAACCGGGTCTGACTCCTTCTCCTGCGCTCTTCCTCTGCGAGGAGGTCGGGCGACGTCATAATACCGACACGTGCTGCTTTGACGGTGCTCGTCCTTGGGTAGTGGAATCCTGCGGGGTGGCCACCGCCGAAGGGGTTCCATTTCGATTGCGGGCGCGGGTAATGCGATATGCTGCCGTTGCGGCCGCGGTTGTAGGATGTTGGCGTCTCGCCGGCAAGTTCTTCGAGGGTCATGCCTTTGGTCTCCGGGATGAGCAATGAGGACAGCATACCAAGAAACATGAAAAGTGCGAATAGCTCCAGAAGACGGTCGAGCCAGGGCGCACAGTGGTCGCCGTGGCAGTCGCCAGGAACGTCTTTGGCGAGCAAAGGAATGCTGATAACTTGCGCTAGGATAGCACCGACCTTGCCCATCGCCGCAGATATTCCGTGCCCCGTGGAGCGGTATCTAGTCGGGAAACATTCGCCAGGAACGATAAATGTGGTAGTGTTGGGGCCAAAATTGAAGAAGAATTGGCCAGTGATGTACAAGGTAAGAAAGACGGCATCGGTCAGCTGGTGTAGCAGAAAGCCGAGCACGCAGAAAATGACGGTGAGCATGAAGAAGCCCATGATCTGGATGGGTTTACGGCCGAGGGTGTCGATTGTGAAGACGGAAACCCAATAGCCTGGGATCGCACCAGCGCATGCCAGGATGATCAATCCTACGGCTTGGTTATGTAGTCTCTTGTAGAAGTTTGCTCCGTCGGCATAGCCAATGGTTTGCAGCACAACGGTGCTATTCAGGCCGAGGCCATAGAACGCCAGATCCTGTTCGGGACGTTAGTATGCCTAGACCAAGTGATTTCTTCGAGTGTTGTGTGACTCACCAGGAAAAACCAAGAAAATGCAGTGCC